TCATAGTAGGCATTATTAAATATACGAAAATTTACTGGGATAGTAAAATATCCTGTATAAAACATAATTAGCTTACTCAGGGTTTATAGAAAGCTTATTGCAAATTTGTTTCCTCATAGTAATCAGTGTTTTGATTTTCAAATGATGACAAATAAACCCAAATGCTTACTATGACATCACACTCATTGGCATACTGGAAGTATAAACCTTGATGCATCACTCAAATCATGTAAAAATATTTTACTATTTAACTTTCAACTTCATGTAGAATCAATGCTGAAAACATTGAGTTAGGGGTCATAGGCACTTCAACGCACACAAATTTTAGTTCCTTAGCATTTCTCGTTGTTTTCAGTTGTTGACACCATTTTCAAATAGGTACACTACCTATAGGCCCATCTTTTTTACGTTTTTTCCTCATTAGCATTAAAAAAATTCAAGCTACAAGCAAACCGACTCCAGTCAAGTCTTGCCACACAAGCATACATTTCTTTGTAATTTATAGTGTTTTCAAAAAAAATTTACTCCCAAAATATTGAACATATTACTCTCAAATTTTCAGTAGTTACTAAATGAGACTTTCTCTTTCGACTTCTGAAGTCGGTTGATATAAAGATCGGCCTATTCTTCGATTGCACTCTACGTCATCGCGGCCATGTTGGTAACATTTAACAAAAGATTACTCATTAGCATCCATTGTTAACGGCACCACAATGGCCGCCATGTTTTTGTCTTTTGACTCTCTTGGGAATGTTTGCAAGCGATCAATAGCATACCAAACACTTGAACCAAAGGTCAATAAGGATAATAGACATAATAATCTAAAGAATAACAGTGGCAGATCTAGAATTTTAAAAAGGGGGGTTCCAAACAAACTGGCGGTCTCCACGTACAAAAAACGGGGGGTTGGATTCACGAAGAGGGTTCCAATTTCACTCTACTGAGCGTAAATGGACGATGATTGGCTTYACAAAATGGGGTTCCAAGGAATCATCCCTGGATCTGCCAATGCATAATCCAGGGCCATAACTAGGGGGGAGCACAGGGTGCACGTGCACCCCCCCATAAAAGCTTAAGGTCCGCTCATCCATCTCCTTTTTTTTTTGGTTCTGCTTTCTTTAAAAAAACGATCAATGGTCCGATTTTATTCGATGTGCACCCCTCCCTATAAAAGTTCTGGTTACAGCCCTGTAATCATGGCCTTATAACTTACCTTTATGTTCCCCAGATAAATGAAACTGATCAAGATCTGGACAGCTAAAACAATCTCTACAGAAAACAATCTTGGTAGATTTACTGGGTGCAATAATACCCCCTAGTGATGTTATTTCAGATTTTGCAACGGTTATTCCAGTAAGCAGTCTCTTTTGTAGTGCTATATAGCGACAATATGCTTGAAAAGTAAGAATAATGATCTTCTCCGTAGGAGTATCATCTGTAGTAGGTGTATTTTGTAGTCTATACTTGTTCTCTGGTTTTCCAGTATATTTATCGATACAGACATCTTTCATGGGTACAAAGTCTGTTTCTAATGTAGGTATTAATCCTGTTGTCCACGAAGACCCTGAACATTCCCACTGTGCCATGTCTTCACATTTTATTATGACCTTTTGGTCTGCATATAACAACTCATCCTAAAAGGAAAAAGTAAATTAGGTGAATTAAAATAATATAATTGGATTAATTTACCCCTCGGGAAAGGGTTCAGGAACAACATTGGGTTRGTACATGGGAGATCATCATTTTGATAATCATAAAAATAACTTTTACTGAAACAGGGCTGTCCTTTCAAGGTTTGTATAACACACGGTTAGAGTGCTCGCACTAAACCTGTGAAACAAATACTAATTTTTAGTACTAAATAGTGATAATCAAACAATAGGAAACAAAGGATTCTGTATGAATTACTTCTAATTAGTACTAAATATTATTCATGGGTTTAGTGTGTGCACTCTATTAATAGAAGCCCAAATGTTTACTGTGAAGCTTCCAAACTCTACAGTTTCTATATTGAATTATTAAACTCATTAATAATTCATGAGGAAAACACAACAGAAATCAAAACCGTTGAAGAGTTTTGTAAATCAGATACAGAATCCTGTTCATTTGCATAAACTTTAAGATGGATTTTCTTGGCCAGATTCACTTTTATCTTGAAAATTTTAGTGAAACACAAAGGAACTAACCTAGACGTGTGATAAGTTATCTACAGTATTCCTGTCCATGTTGTATCCAATATACAAACTCTCTGCTACGCCTTGAGTTTGTATATCAGATACAACACGGCCATTCATACTGTATATATTTTATAAAACCTGTAATACTGATGTCTGCATGTTAAAGAAAGTAAAAACTGAATTTACTGTGGCTTTTGATATTCTGCAAACTCCAACATTTCCCTGGCTTGTTGTGCAATTGGTTTTCACTGCCGCCAGTCAAGAACATATATAATAATATAAATATAAGTTACTGCCTGATTATTTTTGATTATTTGACAGCAGCGAAAAATCAAATTGCAAAGTTCAGCTTGCAACTACCGAGTTTACAGAATATCGAAAACCTGAGTCTGTAATAGTGATGTAATTGTTAGTAATCTCATGGAGAGTATTTGGCATTTTATTAATAGTGCTATAATATTATTCATGAAATGAAATAATTTTTTTTTTGCTAATAAAAT